GCCGGAATATTACGTTTTTTTAAGGTTTTTTTTTTTTTACGGTGTACGTTGCAATAGGCCTAGGCTGCTGGGGCTTCCCATGATGCACTGAGTGTTTCTTCTTCATTCACTACGTGTCTATACACGTGCAGTTAATCATTAGTTATCAGTAGTCTCTGGCTCTTTTACATAACGTGTCTTTGTCCTGTCCTTCCTCCCATCACCCCCAACAGATCGTGGCAGAAGGCAACCCGTCGTGAGCCTTGTTCTGGTGGCGGTTTCTTCCTGTTTAAGGGGAGTTTTTCCTTCCCACCATTTCCAGGGGTTCTAATTGTTTCATCACTAGAGTTATAGCTCAGATATTTAAGGTCTTAACCTGTCTTAACCAGTAAATTACCTTGGCATTGTTGTCATAAACAGACATTTTTTTAAGACTCCAGTGATTAGCAAATTTTACACCAGGTGGAGGCATAGTGTGCTGCCACAAAAGCCATGATAGAAAAGCTTAATAAATAATGTGAAGAAAAAATATTAGATATATAAAACTAAAGCTGTTTAGATATCTTTACTTTGCATATTAGATATGTAAAGTAAAGAAAACTGTTAAAGAAATGTTCCCATTCTAACCATCAAGCCCCCAGCAAAACGTAATAAGACATGAAAGTCAAAATGATTAAGAAGGTCTGAACATTTAATATTCAAGAATTAAATAAAGCAATGATAAACATATGAGAAGGGAAAAAACCCCCAAAAAAGCAAGCTTGCGCCCAGACAAACGCAGAGCAGGAGATGAAGCATAGCTAAATATGTTTTCACCTGCACAAGTGCCAAGGTAGGTCTCCCCTGCATAATTGGTCTTTCCTTCGTCGGGAGCATGCGCTGGGCTCTCCAAATCACGGACAAACAGTATCCCACATTCTTGATTTTTAGTTCACAAACACTTCTTATAATGACTAACTACTCCTGACATTTTGGAGATGTTAGCTCTTTATACAGCAAAGTTACAGTGGGATACAAATAATATCAGGCTGATCCTGCCATGATTTGTTGCCCCTGTCTAAATCACGGACAAACAGGATCCCACAGCTGTTTATGTTTTTAAACCCATTTTGCACAGAGAGGCATTTTTTGAAAAATGTATTGATAGCAATGTTGAATATTATTTACACAGGAAAAAAACAACTACACGTAAAATAATCACATCGTGACGCCTCTGCCTTTCTAAACGGAGGGACAGTAACTGCGTGTATATGTAAGCGTGTAAAACCTGAAGATAATCAGATTAACAGTAACAGTATTTTGTCTCTATCTGCCATTCTGCAATTCATCTCATGTAAAGAATAACGTGGCGCGCAGCGTGACGTGCAAACAGACACATACCTTTGACGTTGAGTGATGAACCCTGTATTCCTCGTCCACACATAAAAGGAGTTTTAAAAAATCTCAGTTTTCAGTGATTCGAAACGCCGTTTACGTGTGGACGAAACAGCTGCGTTTTCAGAAATACCCGTGTAGGTGTGGACGTAGCGTAAAAGAGTTAGTAGTTTATTTTCTTACTACCTGTAAGTTATTGCAGATTACTTGTATTTGCTTAATTGTTTACTAAATGTTTGAGGTGTGAAATAAACCGCAATGGAGCAAAACATGGTGTGTGTGGTTGGAGGATGTGTTTGTGCGTGAGTGCGTGTGTGTTCTTGTAAAACAAAGGGGGGCCTTGCAAAAAAAGTTTGGGAACCACTGCATTAGAGCAAGTGACCTTTGAGAGGAACCAGAAAAGAGGCTGAGTGGCAGCTCTGTTTGCTGCTCTCTTAATGCATCTGTTGTTTCAATTCTTAGCAGATGTCAAAATATTAGAAGTTCCTAATATTACAACGAAGTATTGGTTTAACACTGGATCATACACTACAGGGAAACCTCCACCACCCTCACTTTCTGCCTCTGTACACACACTAACAGCATTGGCACTGAAGTCTCTGCAACTGTACACACACTGATGTGTACGGACAAATACATATGAGCCTTTTCTGACAAAGTGCACTGCGATCCACTTTTTCACAAGCTCTGTGCAGTCGTATGTGTGACTCGGTCCAAATGAACTGGTGATGTAAAGGCTGCTGAGAGAGTTGGGTGGTAAAGCTTAAAATCATTCTGGACAGTCAGAGAAGGAAAGAGTTCTGGAGTCATGCACTTGGATGTTTTAAAGGAAAAGGAAAGATCCTGTGAGCTGTGGTAAAATATGAAAGGTTTTCAGACTTGCTGGAACATAAAACAAAACAGAAATCAATGGAAGCTTTTAAAAAAGTCATTGCCCAAAATCTTCAAACTGAAATGCTAGATCTAAACTGCTTTTCCTCCAATAGCGTTTTGTGACTGAACTGTGACTGAGCTTCCCCCTCTATTTCCACACGCACACACACACACAGCGTTCTCCGGCTCCTAATCCCTCAGGCTAGTTTTGATTGTTACTTAAATCTTTGTGTTCCTTCCCTCTGAAAAGACAAAAAAATCCCCCCACATTTTCCACTTCTTTTCCTCCTTCCTCACTCAAGTGTTTCTATCCATTATGCGCAGTGACATTCTTTGTCTGAAGGACACTGGCGTTGAGCCAAGAGGCTTCCGCTGGGCTGGCCGAGGCGTTTAATTGAAACCTTAAAAGAACTTTCTTTTGGCACAAAAGCCCTTATGTGTGCTTTGTCACAATTAGATTGACCAGAAAGGCCAGCAGACCTGATAAAAAGGGATTAGAAAAAATGCTGGGATATTATGTTCAGTGTGACATGGCCGCTTGTGGAAGAATTAGTGCAGGCCTGACCCGTCCTGGATTAGTCAGGCAAAAGGACAAACCTGTGATTAATGGAGTGGTCAGAGGCTACACTTACAACCCAGTTTCACAACACCTCCTGCACACCTCCCATGGTATTGTAAACTGTCCCTCTCGACTGCTGTCCAGCACAGCACCTCAGAACAGCAGGGTGCAAATTCATCCTGTGAGGTCGCCCGCTGTGAGGGTGCAGAGTTTGGCCTAAAGGGGGCGACACAGTCAGGTTGCCAGGAAAATCTGTTACGTCAAACAGCCCAGTGTAGTCAGCCCCAGTCAGCAGGGCCCAAACTGGTGGAGTTAGGTGCCCCCACCCCCAGACCAAAATATGATTTATGCCAACATGGGTGGCCCAGGAAAAGATCAGATTTGACCATCCTCAATAAATCACATTGTTCTATTAGAATTACAATATGGATAAATATACAATATAGATGCAGTGCCCAGGTCTACAGTTACCACACACTGATGGTGACCTAGGCTAATATAATACATTATAATACAACAGCATGTTCTATACTTTGTTATTATTTTGCCACATTATTTTATTATGACTTTTTTTTTACATGCATTACAGTAACAAATTATTACCTTTTAAATATATAACAATTAGAATACAAAAACAGACATTTCTGAACAGCTATAATTATCATAACAAAGTAAACTTGATATTTATTCCTAAACAGAGAAACAAATTTTCTAAACAATGAAACACATAGTATTTGTAAAATTGATATTTGTTTATTTAATGCATGTCCAACACGTAATTAAAGTAATAACCAAAACATTTTTTACAATGACGCTTTGAGCGTGAATTTAAAACTTTGGTACAGTATTTTGTAAAAGTTTATAGTACCAGGAAATGTGGAGGTTTTGATCAGGTCTTAGGTGCCGTAAAGATTTCATTTAGCTCACATCTTGTTATAAATGTTAGTCCGCTCCAGGAATAAAGGCAACCTGTCTGTTAGGACAGCCAGAGGTTTAAATGACAGTATAGGGGGAAACAATGATTTTAAGAATTCACGTTTATGTTAGCACAATAAACTGATACACTTCAGTTAATGTAGCAACAAGACAATCAGAGCACTTTTTAAACAAGAAATTCTCTCAAGTTGACAGATAAAACAAGACACACAGTTTAATTGAGTGAACACCATCATGAGGACAGATACTTCCTTCCACAGTATGAAGCCTCTGGGTCCCTGTCTGTCCCAGAAGGGTTAGATTGGGGTGAAGTGCCTACTTGGGCGAAATATTTTGGGTAACTGCCAAAGTGCCCAAGTGCCGTTTAAGATGGCAAGCATTTGGATTTTTAACAGAGCTCTGTGGGAGAGCTGACTAAAGGCATCCCATTAATAACAGAAATATAAATACTGCACATGACACATCCCAGATCTGACTAGCTGCTGCCATAAATAAGAAGAATCAAGCACACAGTTATAAAAGAGGAACAAAAGAGCCTGGCACAGCATGACAGACTCACCAAACACCCACATTTTAGTGGTCAGGAGTTCAGGTTTTTCCCTTTGATGCCCGAATGGCTGAACTTTGATTAACAGTAATATTTTTATGTTTTGGATTTTGATACCAAAGTATCAGGACACAAATTGGATGGCATTCTTCATATTTCATAGACTGACAAATTCTTTCTAACTCTATTTTGCTCCTGGCTCTTAAACGTCATGACTCTTTAGGACCTGGCCATTGCACAATTGCACAAAGCCTGTACACAATTCTGTTAACAATTCCAACATACAGACATACCAGGAAACTGATTTTCCAAACATGCCCTGTTATACTGAAGCCCTGCATGCAGATCATTTTCCTGTAAACCTACTTTACAGTGACATTACTCTGAGCTTTGGTACACAGCGGGCCGCTTCAAGGTGGATTAAGGCTTGCCGCTGTGAAACCAAAGTTATTCTCAGCTCCATCATGGCCCTAACCTCAATTCCAAAGCACTTTAAAAATAGGCAATAAATAGAGCACTGTTACATCCAAGGACCCTGCTTAGCATTTCACTTTGCAGTCACACACTTTTGGCTAAAGATGTGTTTATGTAGCTGAGTCCTGTGTGATGTTTAAGGCTGTCCTTGGGTCACAACCTGCTTATTCAACTTTAATTCTCAAACACTACATTTGCATTGAAAGCTAATCCTCCAACATGAAATTAATGTTCCTGTTTCTGCCTCATTATCTCCAGGTTAAGTCGTGGTGTGTGCAAGCTGCCAGCATCAGATCATCGTCCTCAAAGTGTGGGGGCAAGAAGGAAAGATGTTGGGTGCCCCCCGGTGGAGACTGTTTACTGTGTGCAAAGTGCTCTCCGCTCTCCTTTCAGTGTTTGTTAGTTAATCACCATCTGCTGCTGCTGCAGTTAGTTGTATAGCAAGAGTGGAGAGGAAAGGTGAGTATTCTCAGTCAACCAGCTTCTCATACAAATAAATGGTTTTAATGGCTCCACAGTGTGATGAACAAAAAAGCTTCAAAAATACTGGTTGACAGTTTGACTTGGTCCTGTCACTGAAGATTAGCTTCCATTAGCTACTACAGCACTGATGGGTGGGGAGGGTCAGCTGGTGTTGTGAATCAGGCCGCTGAAGTGTCACGCACGGCTTTTTCACAACACCAGGGTTCCTCCCTACTACTTCCTGCTAGGACACATCCACCACATGTCTCTGCACAATGCTGTACATTAGAATACAGCAAAACACAAAGTGTAAATGTACGAGTTACTAACAAGTTTTTAAGGAATGTCATTTCATTGTTAAACAGTAAATAACTATTAACTTGTGACTTATTACCAATAGTATCGTGTTACCTACCAGCTTTGGAACAGTTTGCTATTATCACTATCATCTACACTGTTGTGCCCTTTTGAAACTGAAAAAAAAAAAAAAAAATACACACACACACACACACACACACACACACCACATTATATATATATATATATATATATATATATGTGTATATTTTCTTGCCATGTTACACACAAAACTATTTAGACTATGGATCGTAATCTACTTTACAACTTTTGGACTTTGCAAAAGTCTTGGGCCACCCTACATTTCATTGCAATTCTAACAAGCTTGAAAGTCAACCCTTGCTTTGAGCACATTTATTCTTCAACACAGCATGAACTCTCTTAGACAAGCTTTCTTGTCATTTGTTGAAGTATTCTTCAGGAATACTTTGATAACTTTAGGCTCATTGAATGACATTACAAGCTCTTCTCTGGATGCTGGCTGTCTTTTGTTCTGCACTCATTCTTTCAACATGATCCCACACTTCAGTGAACAGCAGTGTTGGGTAAGTTACTTTAAATTAGTAACTTAGTTACATTACTAGTTACTTCTATTAAAAGTAACTCAGTTACTTCAAGTTACTCGTTACTTTCAGAGTAACTAGTTACTAGGGAAAGTAACTTTGATTTTACTCAGAATTCTCTTGTTAATGTGTTGCTTCCATAAATGGATACCCATCAAGATTGCCAGTCTTCTAGCTTCCTTACTTGCCACAAGTGCACTGTGCCACCTACCAATAGAAAGGAAAAAATAATGTGCACATTTCCACGAGAGAAATCCCACGCCTGATTCTATCCTAGCCTGCTTTTTACATCCAACACAAAAACTGCAGTCGTGGTGCTTTCGATTGTACTCAGAACTTGGAAATTCTGCCTTCTGAATAGGAAGATGTAGGCAACACCAGACTGAAGATGAGCTGCATACAGGGCTGAACTGGGACAAAAAAATCGTCCGGGCATTTTGACTAGAGACCGGCCCACTATTATAGGAAAAATCATAAAGCCTTTGAATGAAAATAAACACTGTTGTGACAGTGATGTACACTGTTCTGATGGTATATATGTATCAATCTATCAATTGTTTGTTGTAAGACTCAGATAATTATTTTTAAAGTGAGACATTTAAATGAGAATAAGAAAGTATTCCTTGTGCCCCCTTTCCTTTTAATGCCCTACATGGACCCCTGGCAACACTTTGCTAGACCCGCCCCTGCACAGTTACCAGCTGTCAGCTACATAGAAAAGGATCCTGGTGTTATTTGTCTCTCAGAAACAGTCCATAACTTCCCTTCAACTCATTCATGTTAACTAAAAGGTAAACCTGTTTCTCCATCACAGCTCTGATGATTCAGTAAGGACATCTCCTGGTTTCATCTTCATGTTTCCCTCTCACAGATACCAAACCGATATCATGACCAGCAGCTTTACAGCTGTGGCTCCAGCAAACATCAGCTGATACTAGAAACTAATATTAAATAAATTCTAACAACAGCTGATCAAGCTTAAAAGTGCTGCTGTTGTTAGCGCGACATCCGCTGTTTCCTCTTTCTGGCGCAAGTGGACGATAAATAACAAGAGGGAAAAGCCGATCAGTGATCATTGATCAGTTTCATGATTGAAGTAGAAACAGGAGAGGGAGGGTGAGAGGATGAGAGAAGAAGAGGCAGCTGTGCAGCGCAAAGACAGAATAACTCCAGCTTTGTGTCTTTTTCATTGTAGCTGAAGTCCGGGACAAACTGTTCCTTTTCACCTAAATACGTAACACGTAATAATTTCTCTGAATACGGGACGATTCCGTTTTTTACGGGCGGTTGGCAACTCTAATAATTAACCTTATGAACAAAATAAAGTTCAACATCAGTAACATAGCACCACCCAGCTGTATAGAAACCGTCATGCTAGCTACACGCAGTACGAAAAAGTCAGCACAACGAAAATAAACTCCACCTAAACTTGGTTCATATCTGACCCAGATAGACTTAAGTAAAAAAAGTAAGTAAAATTTATTTATATAGCACATTTCACAGATAAAAATCACAAAGTGCTTTACAGTAAGATCAGACATACAAGTTAAAATTAATTAAATTAGTTAAAAGCCCGTTTGTATAAAAATGTCTTCAGCTGCTTTTTAAAGGAGTCAGTATAGAGTCTAGACAGCGTAAAGACAACGGCAGAGAGTTCCACAGCCTCGGTGCCAGTGCCTGAAAAGCCCGATCCCCACGTGTTTTAAATCTAGTACGTGGGACCACCAGTAGCCTCTGACCTGAAGACCTAAGTGCTCGGGATGAAGCATGAGGTTTCAACAGGTCAGAGATATACTGGGGAGCTTCACCATGCAGAGCTCTAAAGTTACAACTAAAATTTTAAATGAACCCTAAATTTACAGGCAACCAATGAGAGAAGCCAAAACTGGAGTAATGTGTGACCTCTTGTTTGTACCAGTTAAAGTCTTGCCGCTGCATTCTGTACAGACTGAAGCATCCAGAGCTGATTTGTTAAGACACGTAAAAAGACCGTTACAATAATCCAAACGAGAAGAGATAAAAGCATGAATAATCATCTCAAGTTCTGCCTTTGACACCAGTAGCCTGAGTTTAGAAATGTTTCTTAGATGATAAAAACAGTTCCGGACAAGTTGTTTAGAGTGTTTCTCAAGAGACATCGAACTGTCAAATATAACACCTAAGTTTCTGAGACTCGACTGAAATGAAGGGTCTAAAAAACTGATATGCTGCCTAATTTCTGAGAGCATGTGATCAGGTGCAATAATCAAAGTTTCTGTTTTATCTGCATTTAACTGAAGGAAATTGTCATTTAACCATTGTTTGATTTCTGACAGACAATTATTTAAACAAGACAATTTATACAACTCAGAAGCTTTGAAAGAACAGTACAACTGAATGTCATCAGCATAGATATGAAGAAAGTTATTGAGAAAGAAATGTTATTGTAACATCTGATAATGTGGCCTAGAGGGAGGATATACAGCAAAAAGAGAATAGGACCTAAAACAGATCCTTGAGGTACCCCAGAAGACAGAACTGATGTTTCCGACAGCACATGATTTATACAGACAGTAAAGGATCTCTCAGATAGATATGACATAAACCATTTTAAAACAACGCCAGTAATCCCAAACAAGTCCTTCAGCCTATTTATCATGATGCTGTGATCAACAGTATCAAAAGCAGAGCTGAGATCCAACATAACCAGAACAGTGTACTCTCCAGAGTCTGCTGCCATCAGAATGTCACTAGACACTTTAAGCAAAGCGGTTTCAGTGGAGTGCAATTTGCGGAAACCAGACTGGAAAATGTCCAGAACATTGTTCTTTTCCAAAAAGTTGTTAAGTTGTTCTGCAGCTGTTTTTTCCAAAATCTTTGACACCAATGGAAGTTTTGATATTGGCCTGTAACTGCTTGGAAGAGATGGATCCAAATTTGGTTTCTTTAATATTGGTTCAACAATAGCTTGTTTAAAATAGCTGGGAACTGAGCCAGTATAAAGAGAAGTATTAATTATTTCCAGAATACAGGGGCCAATAGAATCAAACACACTAATGAAAAATGATGGAGGAAGTACATCAAGGTGGCTTGAAGTCAGTTTCATTCGACCAAGCAGAGCACTGATGTCCTGTAAGGTAACAGGAGTAAAAGAGGACCAGGTATCAGAGGTAAGCAACGTGTCAATGTGATACTGAGAGGATGATGGAGAAATATTAGACCTGACAGCAGCGACCTTATTAACAAAATAGTTTAAAAAGTCATTACAGTCAGATTTAGTATAGACTGGTACATGAGGAATATCAGGAGAGACAATGTTTTTAATTGTATCAAACAATACTCTGGGATTTTTCTTTTTTGAAGCTATTAAATTAGCAAAATATTCCATTCTGGCATTTTTTATCATGTTGTTAAGTGAGAAAATTGATTCCTTGAGATGTACCCTATGGACCTCAAGCTTGGAAGCCTTCCATAAACGTTCTAATTTGCGACAATATCTCCTAAAATTTCGAATACTTTCATTTATCCAAGGACAGAAATTTGAAGAATGGACAACATTTAGTTTCAGAGGTGCCACCGTATCTAAAATAGATTTACATTGATTGTTAAAAGACAAAATAAGTGAATCCATATCATTTTGAGCCATGCGAGGGACAAACATGGCAGAAAACCTTCTAGCAGCATCCTGGTTTATAATCCGCCTTTGGATCATCAATTTAGGAGGTGAAGGATCCACGTAAAATGACAAATTAAAGAATATACAACTATGGTCACTCACATGGACATCTTCCACACATACATCATATATATTTAAACCCAGGGAGAAAACAAGATCAAGAGTGTGGCCCTTCGTATGTGTGGGGCCAGAAACATGCTGCTTAAAGTTAAAAGACTCAGTGATAGTGATGAGCTCAGCAGCAGTGTTACAGGAAGCGTCATCAATATGAAGGTTTAAGTCTCCCAATATTACAACCTTCTCCAGTTTAATGATCGATGTCAGAAGGTCGTTAAATTCAGTTAGAAAGACCCCAGCAGGTCCAGGAGGTCGATAGATTAAAATACAATAAAAGGTTTTCAGAGAACCGACCTTCATCATCTGTGACTCAAATGAAGAGAAGAAGTCCGAAGTCACCAGTTTGCATATGAGTCTGTCCTGGTAAACAACAGCAAGTCCTCCACCACGTCCTAAAAGACGCGGAGTTCCAATGACAGAACAGCCAGACAGGCAGATTTCATTCAAGTGGACATAATCCTTATTTTGCTGCCACGTCTCAGTCAGACACATAAAATCTAGAGACTCTTTGATAAAAAGATCATTTAAAATAAATGATTTGTTCGTTATAGAGCGAACGTTAAGCAGGGCGAACCGAATTGATGACGGTTTATCTGCGGAATCTACAGCTGACTGCAGCGGTACTTGAATTAAACACCTGTGCAAACCTGTGGACCTGCCGGGCAGGGCAGCGACTCCAGAGTTGGAAAAAACCTTGATCGATGAGCAGACGTAGCTGTCACCAGCAAAACGGGAAATGGGTGACGGACACAGAGTGAG